AGAATTTGTTCAATGAAAGTGTAAAAATGAAGTGTATCATTGTCGTACATTCACGAATCGATTATAGACGTAAAATGACGTTTAAGACGTGATTGTTACGTTTAACTTTATTGTATGAATAAATTCAACCATATAATTTGGAATGCACTCAATGTTTTAAATATATATTAACTTTATATAATTATTGTATGCATCGAAAAAAAGACAGAAAAAAACAAAAACTTAATTTCGAAAAAATCAATCGATAACTTCATTTATCATTATTATTCTTTGCAAATATTTTGCTATCCAAATATGTATATTAATTAATTAATCAAATGGTATTAAAAAGATCAACAAAAAAAAGAAAAACTGAAAACAAAATCAAAAATACTTGAATGAAACCAATTAGTCAATTTACTTAATTACCTAATTACTTTATTCCTTGTAATTTCCAATAAAACATAAGCAATTATTGTAAATAGAGTTCTTTCTGTAAAAATTAACATAAGTATAGAAAGTTATATTTAAAACTAATTAAATTAAATGTTCATTTGAATTTTTAAAATTTAACAAGCTAAAAACTGATTGATTAATTTAAACATTAAAAACAAAAGCTTAAAATGAAAAATTTTATAAAACATAACAAAATTTTAATATCACATCAACAAATTTCAGGTTTCCTCCATACTTTCTTTCTTACTATTTTCGAGATTTTCAAAGATACTAAATTAAAACAAAATTTTTTTGCATTTCAAGTTTTATATTCAAGTCTAAAATTACAGTATATTGTTAGATATCATTTACTAATTTACTGATATAGACATTTCAAACAATTTTATTACTAATTTGAAATACATTAATTGGAATTTATATCCAATTTTTCCAACAAAGGTTTCATTTGTTTTATTTTTTTTCTAAATCATTACATCATTTAAGTGTCGGATATTATTTGAGGATTATTTTTGCAATAAAGTATAATGCAAAAATAATCTAATCAATAATCTATATATAAGTATTGAATTTCATTTGAGGAATATTTTTGTAATAAATTATAATGCAAAAATAATCTAATCAATAATCTATATGTAAGTATTGGATATTATTTGAAGATTATTTTTGGATTAAATTTGTCATAATCAAATTATTACATCAAAATTTGACAATTATTACGAAATAAATTTTCATTATACTTTGTTGAAATAAAACACTACTACAAAAAAAAAAAAAAAAAAAGAAAAAGCGAAAAAGACAGAAAGTTTAAAACAGAAATTTGAAAAAAACTTTTAAAAAGGTTTAAAACAGAAAGTTTAATCATCGACTAATCTTATAATGACACTAATTAATTATTGCAAATTCAGTGTACACTTTTTTCTGCTTTCTATTTAAAAGCTATCAAATTTTGGCATAATTTCTTAAATGTATAAAAAGTGATTAAAATTTATCGAATTAATTATCATTTCTTTTCTTACATTCACTCTTTTTATTTTCTTCCTATCTTTTTTGCCATTTTCATTATGCTACAATTTCTAAAGAAAACAAAATTAAATAAATTAATTAAAATAAAAAAAAAAGGGAAAGAAGAAGATGTGAAAGAGATAGCACAATGACAGCTGTTAGAACAAAACTAATTTTTCTGATCTTTTTTTTTGTCGTTACATAACTTCTTAAATAACAATTTAAAAAATAAAAAAGTAAAAAGAGAATTGAATTGAAATAAAAATTTATCTTTTTCAAATTCATTTTTTCGATTTTAAATTAATCGTAGTTTTTTTCTCACCTTTTTTTTTTGGCCTTTTTGCTTCTTCAAAATTTCGCACTTTTTGGTTTTTTCCATTCATTTCTTTCTTTTCTTTTCATTCTAAAATTTTCATTCTTTTCTTTCTTTCGTTTTCATTTAGTATAGTTTTAGATATTTTTGTTTTTGTTTTTTTTGTTTTTTGGCTAAATTTTACAACAAACAAACAAACAAACAAATGAATGAATGAATGAATGAATTGAATGAATGAATGAATGAATGAATGAATGAATGAATTGAATAAATGAATGAATGAATTCGATGAATAAATGAATTGA